GTTGGCCCAGGATCGGACATTGTTTCGTTCTGCTGTGCATGGGGTCGCTATGAGTCGGTTCCGACTCGATGGCACCTGACAACAACAACAACTCCTATCTTGGCAACATACGGGGGCTTCAAAATGTTCATGGAACAATGATCTTTTAATTCCACTTTTCCATGAACTTTTTGAAGTCCTATTATACAACTTCCTAATGTCATGAGAAAGTCAGATTCAAACTGAGAATTTGTGGGCTCCTCAGAGTTTTATGTCAGAAATTACAGCACTGAGAGTACTGAGTCCAGCGTGCAGTCTTTGACCCACTACCCATCTCTCACCTACACCCTGCTCTGTCCTATATAGAGTGTGAGGGTCCTATGTAAATGTGTGTGTATAGCCCAGTTCATAGAGTCAAATTCTGTCCACTCCCCTATACCTCTCCTCTTCCCCTGGAATAAGGACAATTGCTTATCAGAACCAATCTTTCCCCTTCTCAGAGACTTTCATACAGAGGTTCAGGCCAGAACATGGTTGCCCCTTAGAAGTCATTCTTTTTTGGACTGGGCTCCAAAATCCCCGTTTCCGTAATGGGGCCCTTCCATGACTCAGATCAAAATGGGCTTCAGAAATTCTTCCTAAAGTGTTTTAGATTTCTCAGGTTATACCCCCTGTTGAAGTTTCAAGTTCTCGTCTTTCTTCCTGGGGAGGAAGTTGCCTTGTTTGATTTTCTTAAGTCTCCATTCCATCATAACCCAAATACACAGTAAAGTGTCTCAAACTTTTAAATATCCTTTGGTATTTAAAATAACATTAGTCAAATGTTTTTTAAAAAAAGTAATAAACTTACATGCAAATTTCCCCTGTTTTGGGAAAGTAGAGCATTCCTATAATATCTTTCGTAAGCTCTGGGAGCTGAGTGTAGTTCTGGGAAGGAACCCTTGCTTTAATGGGTCACTCACTGTTAAACAAATGCAGAATGCTAGTTTTGCTATCTGCCTTTTTTTTGTATGAGTGAAAATCCTCTTTGGACTTCTTTTGGTTAGAAAAAAATAGGTACTTTCATAAAGGTAAATTGGTGCAAAGTGAACTTTCTTTTCACAGGGGATAACCGTACACTAAAATGAAGCAAGACTTTAATACAAAATATACAGATAATAAAATATAAGACATAAGTGATATTTTACCATACCTCTATTTCCACTGGTGAATATAAATAATTAAAGAAAATGGGACTCCTCTTATGCATTCTATCAATACATTCCCAAATACAAATCCCTTTCTTGGCATGCTTGTCTCCTTTATCATCAAATAAAGTCCCTGTGAAAAAAATCCAAAAAATTCAATAGCAAAAAGGTAGCTGAACATGTTATTAGACAATATGATATGCATAAACCAAAGCAAACCCCATGCCATCAAGTCAATTCCGACCCATAGTGACACCACTGGACAGAGCAGAACTTCTCCTTAGGGTTTCTGAGACTGTAAATCTTAATGGGAGCAGCTGTTGGTTTTGAACTGCCCACCTTTTTGGTTAGCAGTGCAGTGCCCGAATAGGGCTTCTTATGGTAGACCTAACAGGAAAAACTGAAATGTTTCTTACAACTCTAGAAATGACAACATATGTGCATGTGTTAGAAGATAAACATCTGACACTTTGATGAACTTGACCTACACCTATGGATGCAGTAGCTGAAAAAAGGGAACAAATCTATACAGCGAGGATCATTCCCACCCTCTCTATACACAGAGTAGACAGGGATGGGCAACTTGGACATTGGCTACCCAAAATAGGGAGGCTACAAAGGCAAGAAGTGACTGCCTTACAAGCTTTCAAGAGGGAACCTACATCCAGAGGGCATGGAGGAAGGTAGAATCTCCACTGAGTAGTATCCAACCTGTCTAGGCGGGGCTGATGAAAGGAAATGCAGATAGGTCTCTTGTGATACAACAATGAATAACTGTTATCAGGACCGATTGTGAGGGTTGGTAATGTAAAGGTAGATGTTTTGTAGCAAGGAGGGGAATGATTAACTTTGAAGTCTAGGAGTGAAGGTCCCTGGGATCATCAAGGTAGAAGAGTGGAGAGCAGGACCCTACCCAGAGAAGCAGTGACACCAGAGATGGAGGCAGAGACGATGATGTAGAGAGATGCAGCAGCTGGGGACTTTAGACCCAGAGAGGGAGAGGGGCTGTGTGCTGATAACCAGGGGTGGGGGTGGGGTGGGATGGGGTTATACCTTTGGTTTGGTTGATGATGCATGGAGAGGACTGGTAACCATGGCAATGCAACAATATATTATAGGATAAATGTAAAACTTAATGTTCTCCTGTATAAACTATCACATAATTCACAATAAAACATAAAAAAATAATTTACAAAACATCTAAATGGAATGATAACATCTAATGTTTTTGGTACTCTCAGTCTACAGCCTCCATGTGTTTATGTCTAGATTTACAGAAGACTATGCCAGTAGGAGCTCTGGTAGCGTAGTGGTTACGAATCGGGCTGCGAGCCTTAAGGTCAGCGGTTCGAAACTACCAGCCGCTCCGCGGGAGAAAGATGAGGCTTTCTACTCCCGTAAAGATTTACATCCTCGGAAACCCTGTACAGGGTCGCTATGGGTCGGAACCGACTCGATGGCACTTAACAACAACAACAAATGCCAGTAGACAGTCTACACATTTTTAAAAAGAGAATGGAATAATTTAGAGTTGGTTTGAAGAAACAAGTAAAAATGAGCACTTTGAGTTTGTTCATTCCGGTTTGAGCCGGTGCTAAGAATTTGCATTTACTCTCCAAATATACTGAATCACAATCAACATTGTAACAAGATTGGGAGGGGTGGAAATGCAAATTCTCAGCTCTGACTGAACCAGAATGAACCATTTCAAAGCCCTGGTAAAAACATATTTTATGTTTCTTTTAAAAACTGCTGGTTGTTTATTATGTTGCCATTTAAATGTTTTGTTTAGTAGTTTATATATACACCCCAAATCAGGGGCACACAGACTATGGATGACAGATGGGTGTGGTCTGCATCCTTGGGTGATTTAAAAGAATTTTTTAGGGAGGTACTTCAGGTGTTTCTGATACTCCCTTTGAACCTTTCAAACAATCTATTACTCATGTGTACCCACTTTGTTTTGAATAGGGAGGAGCATGTGTCAGGGCGAGGCAGGATGCAGTTCTTCAAAAGACCAGGGAGGGTAGGGTACACCACTCTTGGCAGTGCTATCTTGGTGTGAATGAAATAACTCAGTTAAAATGAACAAGGGGTTTTCTAGTTTATCAAAAAGGAAAATTTACAGCTCAAGGTTGCATAAAATCTGTAGTATGTGGTGCCCCAAACACGAAATTGTGCCTGTTCTTCTTTACCTTTTAATGGCACAGTCTAGTGCAGTGGTTCTTAAACTTGAGGGCAAAATAGAAAAATCTAGGATTTCAAAAAGCTCCTGATGCCCAGATCTCCCCTCAGATCAACTAAATCACAATTTCTAGGTATGGGGTCCAGGTATTTTTAATTTTTAGTTTCTCTAGTCTTTGCAATATGATCTAGGTGTTGGAATGGATCTTTAATGTCACCCATTCATCCCTCCATTGAGGCCTTGCAGTGCGGATTACACTCAAGGATGTGTGTAGAAGTTAGTCCCAATTAAGGGGCTCTGGGCCCTTTTTACAGGAGAACAAACAGAAGCAGGAAGAGATGATGCAAGCTGGCCTTCCATGCCTCAAGGTGAGTCTCTCTTTCTCTCTCTGCAATAGTGGTGGTGCTGGTGGTTATGTGCCCTGGAGTCGATTCTGACTCACGGTGACCCTGTGTAGGGTTTCTGAGGCTGTGAATCTTTACGGGAGCAGAAAGCCTCATCTTTCTCCCGTGGAACAGCTAGTAGTTTCCAACGCCGACTGTGAGATTAGTGGCCCGGCTCCATTACCCTCTCAGACCTCCTTCTCTGCAGTAGTTAACACCTGGTAATTGCAGCCAAGTTTAGGGAGTTTTTCTTAAAAAAAAAAAAAACCCTGTAAAAAACAGTTAGGATAGCTAGTTTAAGTCCTATCAGCTCACAATTCTATAGTTCAGTGTAATAATCTTTTCAATATGTAATATCAGTCTTCTAGGACATGGGGACTTAATTCTGTTTAGGTTTTTCCAGGGAAACCTAAAAAATTGATTGAAGAATTCCACTAGCAGTGGCTGCAACTCCTTATTCTCTGATTCTTGGCCTTGGCTGGCAGAGGGTGGTGGCAGCAGCTGTTCCTACATTAGGTTGTAGTAGTCTCTTCCTATGTGGACTTGAGAACTAGTGCATCTTCCCCAGTGCTTCAAACTGGTTCATTCTGGTTTGACCCTGGGTTGAACCAGAAATACCAGAATCTGCATTTTTAAAGAATCCCCAGGTATAAATAATAATCACCTGGGGATCTTGTTAAGCTGTGTTTGCTTGTGTGTCTTAACACAAATAGTTATGTGTATCTCCCCTCCCTTAAACCCCCCCCAAAAAACCCCCCCAAAAACCAACAACAAAAAGTAAACCCCTTGGGGAATGATTTCACAGGGACCACTGATGTTCAGAATCTACTCTTTAAAATTACAGTTATTGTTAGGTGCTATTGAGTTGTCTCAGACTCGTAGCATCCCTATGCACAACAGAACAAAACACTGCCCTGACCCTGTGCCCACCTCGCAGTTGCTGTCATGTTTGAGCCCATTGTTGCAGCCACTGTGTCAGTCCGTCTTTTTCACTGAATTTCTACTTTACTAACCATGATGTCCCTTTCCAGGGATTGGTCCCTTCTGACAACATGTCCAAAATACGTGAGACAGAGTCTCACCATCCTCACTTCCAAGGAGGGTATACTTGTTCCAAGACAGGTTTGTTTGTTCTGTGGCATTTCATGGTACTTTCAATATTCATTGCCTCAATTCAAAGATACTGATACCGCTCCGCCAATACGTCATTTGATTTTTGACTGCTGTTTCCACGAGCATTGACTGATATACTTGACAATGGCAATCTTGTTTATTAGTCCAGCTGTGAGGATTTTTGTTTTATTTACATTGACTGCGTCTTGGTCATTTATTTGAATAACTCTGACTTGTTTCTTAGTGTGAATTGAAGTTGTCTGGTTTTTGAGAATTGTGGTCTTGTATTTGTATTCAGTTGATTATCTGTTGGTGTGGTCTTAGGCACTCACTGCCTGCTTCCTGGTGAGTAGATCAGAGAATGGAAGTACATGTATAGTTCTCTGCCATTCATACAGCTTAGTGTAGGGTGGGTTTGGCTGTTGTCTGTTGTTGATCAGGTGGCATAAGAGCTGGTACTGGATATTCTCTAGCGGATGGAGCTGCAGAGGGTTTGGTTGTGGCTGGGTTGTATGGGCATGGTTGCTGTCTTCCATTAAATGGAGCAAGAAGAGAAAACATACATATAAAGGAAAAACAAACAAGCAAACAACATTGAAAAAAAAATAGTAAAGGAGAAAAAAGAAAAAAAAACCCGCAGGCAGTAGCAATAAAAAAAAATATAATAACTGAAGAGAACAATGGGAAAGGAAAATAAAAACATGGAAGCACAATGGAAAGAAAACACAGTAAGCAAAGCTAGGGAGAAGGATAAAGAAAAGAGAAACATTCCAGAAAAGAGCAAAGAAGTACCAGAGAAGAGAAAGAAAACTCAGAGGGAATAAAAAAAAGAGGGGGGGGGGGTGTAAGAAGGAAGGAGAGGGGATAAAAGAGAGACACAAAAAGAGAATGAAAAAGGAAAACGGAGACAAAGAATGAAAAACAAGGAAAGGAAAAAACTAGGGCAGGAACTGAATGCAGAGAGGAGAAAACTGTGTGACCTCTGCCAACCTAAAAGCTCACAAGGTAGGAAGGGGAGGGAAGAGAGAGGGTAGTAGTCCTAGCCTTAGATGGAGTTTCTAGTTACGAATTGGGCTGCAGACCTTAAGGTCAGCAGTTCAAAACTACCAGCGGTTCCACCGGAGAAAGACAGGCGTTCTGCTCTGGTAAAGATTTACAGCCTCGGAAATACTGTGCAGGGTCACTGTGAGTCGGAACCAACTTCATGGTACTTAACAACAACAATATGAAGATATTATCAGTGATCACTTTATGAGTCTTGGAACCAACACCCTATTTTTGTAAAATTCTTTTTATAATCTAGTCCCAATTTACCTATTCAAATTCTTCACCTATAATTTGATCAGGTGTGACCAATAAAAATCTATCATACCAAAAAAAAAAAAAAGTAATTGCTACAGTTCTAAGAGCTCTGGTAGTGTAGTGGTTACGAATTGGGCTGTGAACCGCAAGGTCAGCAGTTCAAAACTACCAGCTGTTCTGTGGGAGAAAGAGGAGGCTTTCTGCTCCCGTAAAGATTTACAGCCTCGGAAACCTTGTACAGGGTAGCTATGAGTTGGAACCGACTCCACAGCACATAACTACCACCAGGTGTTGTCAGGGCATCCAACCCAGAAGTTTCTGCAGGCCCTGGAAGTAGATGAGGTCAGAGTCTTTCAGGCCCAGAGGGCAACTGGAAGCAGGGCAGTTGATTAAGAGTTTGAGCTAGTCTAGGGCTGGCCTGGATGGCCCTGCGAGTTCTTCAGGTCTAAAGACCTGGTGCTGGGGTTGTGTACCCAGTGCCCAACTCCCAATGACAGCTCAGCTCTGACTTCTAGTATAGCAAGGACTACGCAGGGGGGCGGATGAGGGTGGGAGCTGGCCACATCTCAGGTCCACCAGGGGTGTGGGGAACAACAAGGAATCACACTTTTCTTGTTGCCAGTCACTGGTGTCATCCGCATCGTCAGGCCGCTGCCTGTTTCTAAACTATCCATAGTTTGTTATGATCCATACAGTGGAATGCCTTTGCACAGTAAATAAAAAAAAATAAATGTTTTTCTGGAATTCTCTGCTTTTAGCCAAGATTCACCTGATGTCAGCAATGATAGTCTTCATTCCATATCCTGTTTTGAATTCAGCTTGAATTTCTAGCAGCTCCCTGTAAATTTACTGCTGCAACAGTTTTAAATTATATTCAGCAAAATTTTACTTGTGTGTGGTATTAATAATATTATTTGATAATTTCTGCATTCTGTTGGGTCACCTTTCTTTGCAGAGGACACAAACATGGATCTCTATTCCAGTCAGCTGACAAGGCAAATGTCCTACAAATTCCTTGGCAGAGATGAGTGAGTGCTTCCAGTGCTGCATCAGTTTGTTGAAACATTTCAATTGGTAGTTGTCAATTCCTGGAGCCTTGTTTTTCAGGGTAGTTCAGACTTCTTCCTTCAACACTATCAGTTCTTTATCATATGCTAACTCCTGAAATGGTTGAACATCAACAGATTCTTTTTGATACATATGGTGACTCTGTGTACTTCTCCTCCTCCCATCTTCTTTTGATGTTTCCTGCATCATTCACTATTTTGTCCATGTTATAGTTAAGTGCTGTTGAGTCAGTTCTGCAGTTAGCAGTCCAGTGCTTACCCTGTAGTGCCACACCAGGACTCCATTTTGCCCACAGAATCCTTTCATATTGCACATTGAGGCTTGACTTTTGTCCTCATTTCTCTCAGCTTGAGAAATGTTGAGCATGGTTTTCCCTTCTGGCTCTCTAACTCAAGGTATAAAAATTACTACTGCTATTAACAATAAAAATAATGAGGTCTAGTTTTCTGGGTAGCACATGGGGGTCTGAGGCCAAGAGCTGTTCCTGCCACCACCAACATGGAGACTTGGTACTGAGTCCTGTTCTTAGTGCCTGAATGCCCCGGCCTGAAGTTGAAGAAGCTGCCCTGGGTCCACACAACGTTGGCCATGATAGTGGACTCTCTGGTGGTGGCGTCTTACTTCCTCATCAGTGGAGGAATAATTTATGATGTTACTGTGGAACCTCCAAGTGTTGGCTCTATGACTGATGAACATGGGCATCAGAAGCTAGTAGCTTTCTTGGCCTACAGAGTAATGGACAATATACTATGGAAGGACTTGCAGTAGTTTCCTGTTTACAATGGGATGTTTAGGTTTCATAATCCTGGGCCAGTACAATGCACCAAACATTTCAAAACTCAGTAGATCTGTGGATTTATCTGTGTCCTATTGAGCTTTTTTTTTTTATGGCTAGAGTATTCACGAGAATGAAACTGCTGGGTTATCTGATGGGTTAGAATACCCATTCATAGAAATCAGTGGATATTGGATTTGCTCCTGTTAATGAAGTTTTGACAGCTATACCTATCAAACCTCAAATATGAAATGTGGAAAAGGATGAAGAGTATCAAAGTGAAGATTCTAGTGAAAGCTGAGAAAGCTAATTAAATTTTGGACTAGAATTTCTCCTTGGTACTAACAGAAAGACAAACTTATTACAAGGTTTGTTCCAGCTGACCTAGACTGACGTACCAACAATGTTAAGTGGCATGCTCTTCTTAGTTTTTCATTTCTAAAAGGAAATATACTTCAATAAGTTGTGTGGAAGGAGCAGAAATAAATAATTTCTTTAATTAAAAAATAATTATGTCTACAATTTATTGAAGGTTTACTCTGTGTTGGAACCTTCCTAAGAATAACTCTATGTGGGACACCCTGGTCAACTGGCATAACATAGTCCACAAAGACAATGTTCTACATCCTATGTTGGTGAGTAGTGACTGGGATCTTAAAAAGCTCATGAGCAGTCATCTAAAGTACAGCTATTTGCCTCTCCATGTGCAGAATAAAGAAGAGTTATGAAAAGTGAAAATGCTTGGAATCAACTAGTCTAGTGGACCAGTGGAGCAGATGAACAACAGTCTCAATGACTCTGAGACCAGAACTAGATGGTTCCCAGCTACCACTACCAACTGCTCTAAAAGGGATCACATTTGAAAGTCTCAGGAGTGAGAGAAAATGTGGAACAAAGCTTAAAATTATATATAAAAAAAGACCAGGCTTACTGGTCAGAAAGATACTGGAAGAACCAGGGTCTATGGCCTTTGACTACCCTTCAGATCTGAAACAGAACTCACCCTTGTGGCCAAGTTTCAGCCAAGCAGTAGCTAGAAAAATATGGGGACATTACACTATTAAGGTATGCTCACCATGGAATGGTCATTCAAGATTAAAAGGGCATCATTTACCTAGGGACAGAGTTGAGAAGGGCTGGGAAGGTGGATGGAATGGCAGTAGGAACCACAGGGTGGAAGCAGGATAACTGTTGTTGCAAGGGGGAGGATTGCAATCATTGAGAGGAAACAAAGTGAATGATTTGTTCAAAGTAAAACTGATTATCTTCTCTATAAACCTTCACTCAATTCATAATAAAAAGTTAATTAAAAGAAAATCCCATTGTGATCATCATGGCATTAAGAAGTAGGTACTATTATTGTCCATATTTTACAGAGGAGAAAAACAAGGGGCAGAGAGGTACATACTTAACCAAAGTACGTGGTGATTGGTAGTGCTGGGACTTAATCTTGGTCTGTTTATCTAGAGTCTATGACATTAACTAAGGAGCTCTGGTAGTATAGTGGTTATGAATCGGGCTGCTAACCTCAAGGTCGGCAGTTCGAAACTACCAGCTGTTCTGCAGGAAAAAGATGAGGCTTTCTGCTCCCGTAAAGATTTACAGCCTCGGAAACACTGTGCAGGGTCGTTATGAGTTGGAGCCGACTCCACGGTACTTAACAACAACAACAACGACATTAACTGCTATGCACACTGCTTCCAATGGCAGGTACCCTTTATAGTAGAGTGTGCCAGGGATGGAAAAACTATGAGTTGAAAGTGCCTGCTAAAACACTGATAACATTTTGGAATATTAAAATAGTAAATGGAAGAGTTAACACAAACGTGTAAACTCTGTATCCGGGCATTCCTTCAGATCTTTATAGTTCAAGACAAAACCCTAAAATGTCTTTGCTAAACCTGGGGGTAGTTGATTTATTATAGTTTTTATTAAAACTCACAACAAACTAACAAAGATGAAACAAAAGTGTAGAAACACATACCATGCTCTAATCTTTCATAATCTGAATCCAGAAGAAATGTTTTAAAGCGATTAGACACATAATGGAAAGCCAAGAACTTCAAGTAATATAGATTGAATTCAAACTCAGTTGGATATTGGTGGTGAACCTGAAACACACAAAGAAGGAAAAAAAGAAGTGAGAACAGACTAAACAGAAGGTAGAATGCCATTATATTAAATGCTAACCTGAAATACACCAGAGACCATTTGGTTACTAATTCAACAAATATTTGAATCCCTACCATGAGTGGAGGTAGGAAGGGACCACACTTTTTGAGCACCTGCTATATGCCAGATACCATAGTGACCCTACAGGACATAGAAGAATTGCTCCATAGGGTGTTCTACGCAGAAATCTTTAGTAGCTGATTGTTTACCCATTGCATTATCAGCATGCCTTGTCAGATAACATGCATTTTCTTGTTAAGTGCTGTCAAGTTAGTTTCTGACTCATACCAACACTGTATAGGGTTTCCAAGGAGCGGCTGGTAAGTTTGAACCACCGACCTTGTGATTCAAACAGACCTTGGAGTCAGGGCTTATCCTACAGCACCAAACCAGGTCTTATCCAAATACCATGCTAGGTGTGTTTTATAAAAAATCTTGTTTAATCTCTATAACAACATTGCAAAACAGGTAATATTATCTCCACTTTAAATTGAGAAACAGTAAGTTTAAGTAATTTACCCAAGGTCATTCAGCCAGAACTGGTGAGACCAAATTTGAATACTGGCTTGTTGAACACCAAGATCTGTGCTTCACTTTTACAGTACACTGTAATAGTACTGTACAGGTACTTGACATAAATCAGTGTAAGTTATGGATTGTGCTTTCCAGGAGCTTATGGTGTAAAGTGTGGAATAAAAACTGACAAAACAAAATAGCCAAGCCAAGCAAAACAAAATAAAACTCGTTGCTCTCAACTTGAGTCAACTTACGGAGACCCCATATGTATGTAACAGAGCAGAACTGTGTTATTAAAGGTTTTCTCCCTGCAACGTTTTCTTACTGGCTCTTTAATGGCACTAAACTTTCAGCTCATAAATGGTGGTGGTGGTTATATGCTGTGGAGTTGGAACCGACTCATAGCAACCCTGTACAGGGTTTCCGAGGCTGATAAAGATAAAGCCTTATCTTTCTTCTGTGGAACAGCTGGTAGTTTTGAACTGCTGACCTTGCGGTTCACAGCCCATTTCGTAACCACTATGCTATCAGATCTCCTTCAGCTCATAAGTAGTGCCAAATAAAATAAGAGTGTGGGTTGTACGCAGCAGGCACTGCTGCCTGTGAAGCCACAGCTGTTTGTTTCATCAGGTCAAGGACACAACAGTTTCCACAGGACATTTGTGACATGGCTCTCAACAGCTGTGCAAGGTGACATGCTCCAGGGTGTTAATACCTATGTATTAAGTATGAATTTTATCATTAGTGAAGATAAAGGAATTAGACCACATGGTATCTGTGATTATTCTATATAGCAGTTAATTATAATGGCTAAGCATAATTACAGTTTACAGTTATAATTAAATAAAATTTAAGTCAACTTGGCACATAATAGGAATCAAGTTCTAATTCTGCAGCATAATAACTGGACATACAAATAAACAGTTCCTCTTTATATGAGAACAAGTGGTATTTAGAGTAACTACCGCTCGGAGTATAGGTCAGGTTCATCATGAAGATGTATCTTCTGTCACTGTAGCTGTTCCAGTCTGCTTGTCCTTTCTAGTGGGAATGTCTCACCTCACAAGGTTGTGGATGGGACTCAGGATTCCACCTAAGGTCCTATACTCTGTAAAGGCTTTGCAAAAGGCCTATTTCACTGGGCAAGTTGTAGAACCCCTTTTAGGTATTCCAATCAGTTATTGGCTGATGGCGGGCTTACAAGTTTTCTCTAATCATGTTTCCCAACATTCCTTTCTATCCCACTCAAGTGTCTATTTTAGAATAGTAGGCAAGGGAAACTAATATTCATAAGGCAGTCAAGGATTTAATATTATTTACCCTCTTCAAGCTATACCTAGATCCCTCTATCCCAGAGCCCTATTGTTCCAAGGTTGAGTATGCATCACTATTTACCTCTGTCCCACTAGGCCATGCAAACCTGTCTCAGTGTTCCCCTATCTATCTTGTTCTGCCTCCTCCCCAATCCTTGTATTGTCCTCTCCAACACCCAAACTAACCCTCCCCACCCCCCACTGTGGTTACCTTATATTCTACTAGTTCTAGCCTCCATTTAAGACAGTCTATTTTATCTAGTAATCTACCTGACCTTCCCACCACCTGGATCTCTGTTCCTCTGTGTTAACCTTTTTTCACACTGTAATTGTTTTGATCATAGACTGTCCTCCCAGAGCCTCTGTTCTTATAATTTTATTCTGTTCTTGACTCTTCCATTTGTCAGCTGAGTTCAGGTTGATGCTGCCATGTACATCATTCTGTACTTGTTTTGTGTTCTTGTTGGTTCTTAGTTCACAGAACTTCCTTTAGGATGTTTTTCATAGCAGGGTTGGCTTTGGCAAAATCCCTTAGCTTCTGTTTACCCTGGAATGTTTAGATTACACCATCATATTTAATTGACAGCTTTGCTGGGTAGAGGATTCTTGGGTGGCAGTTTTTTTCTTTCAGGGTTTTATATATGTCTCCTCATCGCCTTCTTGCCTGCATGGTTTCTGTTGGGAAATCTGAGCTTAATCTGATCTGCTTGCCTTTGTATGTTATATTTCTCTTTTCCCTAGCTGCATTCAAGATCCTGTCTTTATCTTTGATTTTGGAGAGTTTATTATGTCTTGGTGATTGGATTGTCTTTTAGGGTTTATCCATCCTGGGGTTCACTGAGCTTCTTGAATGCTTATCTTTTCACTTTTCAGGATGTTAGGAAAATTTTCTTCCAGAAGCTCTTCAACTATCT